CCATTTTCATGTAGGCTATGTGACGGTGTCTAGCGGCGGTTCACAACATGTTGTTCCCCTTAAAGTGAAGCAATGTCAACTTTGTCACATATTGCATGTCAATGAGTAATCACAGTTTTCACTACAGAGTGATTTTCAGATTTGCACATTTATAACAATACTTTTTAGAAACCTGTAGAGGTTCACTGTAAAAAAGGAATCTCAAGAAAGTAAAAAAAAAAAGTCTTGTTTCTGGGAAATTATCTTTTTGTCTCATATTGAGCTTGATTTAACCAGTAACAACAATGGTTTTGCATAATATCCCAGCAGAGGAACAAGAGCATTGTCCTTATTTCAAGGGTAAGAGCACTTGCACAACTTCTTAGTTTAAAAGAAAGTCGTCTCGTCCCAGTGTTGGTAAGGAAAGCAGTGAATAACTTATTTTTATTGTGCTGTTTGAAGAAACTGTGTCTCTTTTTGTGCTAACTATTAATCTTAGACCAAGGTACACATTCTTACATTCAGCTCAATACAGTGACCAAAACTTAACTTTAAAAATCCTAAATAAGTAAGTTCTTATTGTTTGTAATAAGCACAAGTTGCCTTAATGTTTTAAGGCTCATTTTACTCTTTCAGTGGCTGATTTTTGTCCTCCTTTTAAGAATCCTAGCCAAGCAAAATTGGATTACTGCTTTGGCTCGATACAAGAATTATATTTAAGAATATTTGGCTGTAGTATTTCACATAAAAAAATCAAAGATAGAAATGTTAAAAAATAATACATTTTTGTGTAACAGAAATTTATTTTTTAATCTTTTATTTCCTGTTAATAATAATTATATTTCTCTTCTGACCCTTTAGGTCTACCAAGCTGCAGATGTTACTTTACTTTACATTTACTATTCTTTACAGAAGTCGACCAGATGCTGAGTTATCAATCTTTTTGTGTAAATAAACAGTTTTCTTGCATGCCTTAAAATCAAGAAGGCCTTGTGAACCCGCTGTGAAGCTTTGGTGTCTATGCCTAAGGATCATCATTGGTCACTGTGTGGGTGCACTGCAAACATAAAAGCAGTGAAATGAGGCGGGACGGACGGGGTCACTCGTGCAATCAAAACAGCCTGAACTTATAATGAGATAGAAGCCACCAGGATTGATAGCTTCACTGAGTGCTCTGCTTTGAGTTATCCAGCATTTTTTTTTTGGAAAGAGAGAGAAAGTGTCTCTCAAACACTGTACCGGATTTTAATAAGAGAGCCAACGACACATGCTCTTGTAATCCTGAAGGAGAGTTGATAAATCATTAAACGGGTGCCTAATCCTTTCATCCTGTGGATTGGAGCAGAAACAGCTACAAGGAGGATTACATCAGCAACGGGTAGAAAAAGATTAATAATATCAAATTAAATAATCGGCTACCCTAATTCCAGCTATTGTCTCAGCATGCTTGAAGCAGTTCTTCAGTTGCCCTTGAATCTCTTGAGTCGGGCCGCTTACAGGGGGAAGAATTGAAAGCGAGGGTAATGAGCGGCACCAGACGTGAACAGCAGTGAGATTGACTGTAAGTGCACACCTGACGTCTCTCTCCAGAGTCTGAGCTCTGTGGAAAACTGCCAGAGGGCCACTCAGGACAACCCGCAGCGACAGGGACGGAAAATGAAATTGTTCTGAACACAGAAAGAAGTTTTCCCCTCTGGTATTCTGGACACAACATGATCTGGATCCATATCTGATCAGCACTGTTTGACAGTTTATCTGAGTTGGTGCGTTGAGGCTGGACGGACTCCAGGGCTGAGAAATGAGCTGTCAATCACAAAGGTAGCCCCGCCCTAAAGCATACCCTGCTTTAGCTTCTGTATTGACTGCTAAATGGGACCATCAGTTACTAAATGAAAATCATGCTGCTACTGGAAGAAGACTGAACTAGATTACTGAGACCAGAACTCATCAGGAAACTGTTTTTTACTGAGGGCTTTTCTTTAAATCAAGCTGAGAAGTCGACATCATTCTCTCATAAGAGCTTGAATAGTATCTTGTGTGTTATTGCAACCAGTGGAAGGATCCCCCTCTGGTTGACCAGAGAAATGGCAGGTTTAAGACACTTTGCAGACCAGAACTCTGTCCATTATATAAATGTCAATAGTCTCTACAGTGTGACGTTTTGATGTCGTCTGCTGCAGAGTTTGACTCTAGAAGGATGTTTTCACATTCCATTCTGCTGAAACGTGAGCTCATTGAACATCTGATTTTAAAGAGGCGGGCTACGAATTCAGACAAGAGAATAAATGTCCAATAAAAGCACAGCAGCAGTTTAGGCTAAAGCTACAAGATTGTTTTTCAATATGTTCAAGTATAAAGACATTTGGCAGGGTTCATCTTCAAATAACTTTTCATCAACTTTCAGCAGACGTGTTTGTGCAGTGCAGAGTAAAGCTTGATTAATGTTGCACAGATGTATATTCTTACATTTCCCGCTTCTGATACTGAAACCTGGCCTTGTGTGAACTCTAACAGCAGACGTGACAAAGTGCATTCAAACTAATTTGCAGATTCTATTTCTGCTCTCAAACTTCATTTTCTTTTTCAGACACTTAAAAAAGCAACTTTATTGTTATCTGAACCTCCCTCCACCATCGACAGTACTCAGCTGAGATTTAGATTTACTTTTAATGTTTTTTTGTGAGGGTGGAGTTTTCCAAAGACAGGTTCATTTCATTAGATTAATGTAAAGGTTTTACGGTCATCAAATATTATGTTATATATAATATTTCTGGAGGCAGCTAAACCTATAAATGTACTGCCGGATCGGATATCGCACCTATGAAGCCATCAGGGAACAGCAAAAAGATGTGCCAAAACATAATAAATAATTGAGACTTTAGAATTCGATGTATATGTTTCAGAAGCAAAATCGCTTCTCC